AGAATTTCTAGATTGTTACTAAACAATACTAGGTTGTTCAGTTACCCTGAAAATCTTCACGCACATGCTACAGAAAAGATTTTTTAAAAATATTCAATTGCTGGAACATGGACACAGCAAGCCCAAGCCAACTTTAAGCTAAGAAAAGGAAAAAAGGAAAAAAAGTCAGAATAAATTACTCTTTCTTTTTTTCAAGTTTCTTTCTGTACTTGCAACTGGCAACTTGTAAACTCATCCAAAGTCACCAGACAGAATTCCTGATACATGATGGCCAACATTATCTAGGGGTAATTCAAAATTAGATTTTTTAAAATGAGAGGGGGTAGAAGGAAGGGAGGAGATGAAAGGACAGAAGAGAAAAATGCTCAAAAATTTGGCATCCAATATGCTCACCTAACAGAAAGCAATTTGTTAATAATTATTTCAAACTGAAGGAGAGTTTTAGATACTAAAGAATCTACAAAGTTTCCCCTATAATTTTTATTGACTCCAAACAAGTTTGCTATCAGTTTTGGGATGTGGTCAGTTCCCCTATGCACAGGACATAAGTTTAGAGAGTTCTCCAGAATTGGGGTTTGTACAACCAGCTCCTGGAGAAGAATCGCGACCCCGGCTATTACCTGGTTGCATAGGAAGGCTGGACTTCATGTGGGTTCCTGCGATCTGACCAGAAGAACAGGAGTCTGTCAAAAATGGGCTCCACATCTGCTATAAATGATTTCCCTTCTGGAAATATCCGTAGGATCCCGCCATGCAGCTGAGGGCCACAAAGAAGGTGCATTATTCCTTGGTCTCACATATAGTTTATCAACAATGATATTTCAGCCCCATCTAGAAACAATGCCATTCCAAGCATATATTACCCCAAATTTTTACTTCAACTTCACACTTGGTTCCAAATTTTACTTCAAAGTTGTAGAGATATCTTCTTATTTACCTCATACCAAAGCCTTCCCATCCCCACAATCATGAAGCCCATGGGCACAAAATAGAGTACTATTAGATTGAATCATACAGAATTGCCAATATACGACTGGTTTTGACCAAAAGAAACAAACAAACAAAACAGCAATTTCATATGGCTCCATCTAATATTAACAGCTTCCTAAAATAATCATCACACATAACTTCGCCTTCGATTAGAATTTACAGCTTCCTTCTGAACTCCCTTAGCTCCTATCTGACCTTGTTCGTTAGAAGTTATATGCTTCTTTTCTTTTTAACTCTCAGACCATCTTATCTGTACCTTTTATGACACACATCACTTTCTTGAATTACTTTTTTTTTCACATTTACACCCAATCTGTCCTACTTGAATAACCATATACAGGGTAGAATTCAGGCCTCACGATAACGTTTCCCAACAGCACACCAGCTGACACTAGCAGCACCTCAACAATTTACTATTATTGACCTGATAACTTTCCTCTCTTGCTTCTGACAGCACCCCTAAAGATTTTAAAGGAGACCTAATGGATGAATTCCAGTCATGTTACCAAATAGGGAGAAGAAACAAGCCTTTTCACTGATTCACTGCTTTCCCAGGTTTCGTTTTTCTGACCCCAGATAAAATATCATCGCTTTATGACAGCCAGTGTCTGCCCTAATGGAGAGGAAATGGAGATGCAGAAGGTTCAAAGGCCAAATAAGCTTGCCAAGTTCTCTGACTTCCCAGACTCCTAAATCATTCTTAACTTTCAGAAAGCATACAAAGTCCACACAAACATTTGAAAGCATGGAACCGGGCTTCATATCTCTGTCTATCTACATGTCCTATAATACAAAAATAAGCCACAAAAACTTTGGCATTCACAAACCATAGTAAGCCACAGCAAGCAGCCATAACACGATATATCACCCTGAGAGAAGGGATTGTTTGGGAAATCTCTCTCATGGATGGTTTTATATGCTACAATTCCATTTTTGTGGAATTATTTCAATAGTGCTGCTGCAAGGAAAAAGTATATATCCTATTCTGCATTGAGAATCATATCAGCTCTGAGTTAGACTAAAATAACTGACTCCTAATTCTGTTAAATTACCTTCCCTTCATCAACCTGTGCCTTAATATTCACCTTACCTACTCCCTCCAAATTAACTTTATATCCATTATTTTCATCTCATCAACTTCAGTACTAATTCCATGGAGAGGAGAAAAGAAAAATACAAAACAAATAGCAAAAAATTTCAGTGGGAGATAGAGCTTTTATGAACTCAAAACCTTCCTTTAAGTTATTGGCATTCTTGTCTTATAGTTTCTAACTCCGCACTTTACTCCCATTATTCCAAAGTACCTTGGCATCCCAGTTCTTGTTCAGATAGTAGATGCAGGTGATACAGCGACCATCACCGTTGGGGTTGTCCACATGGCGAACATAACCCGTTCCATTTCCTGGATAACAAGCAACCATTGCCTACAGAGAAACCCAAGAAAGCTGGTTAGCAAAGCTGAGACAATCTTCTCCCGCTGGTGAACAATATCTCTTTGGGCGCTATGTGACATTTACAGGTGGCTGCTGGCTGCTTAACTGCATATACAGTACATAAGTCCGAACTCTTCAGTGTGTAAGATTAATAGCCAGGTCCTACCTTATGGTTCAGCCCAGTGGAAAGTAGTTCAATAGTATTCTCACAGTTCTAGAACACTTCAGTCTTTCTTAAAGTAACCCACCTACATCATTACTAGAATGCCCCACTTTTTTTCAATACTCCCTTTTGAAAAAGTGGTTTCTGGATTCCCATCCTAGACTCACAAAATCAGAATCACTAGCTGTGGAGCTTAGGGATTATCCCTGTTTAGCAAGTGCCCCTGAATCACCGAATCACACTATCTTGGAACGATGGCTAAAGATATTCACATTTACAAAGAGACAGAACCAATCATAAAGGAAGAAAAGGTCAGGCTTATTCAGTAGGATGCTTAAGAGAGAAGGGTCAGTGGGAAGCTGCGCACTCACTCACTAGCACAAACAACAAAGCCAGATCCCTTTCAGGGAAAAAGCCACACACCTGTCTTAATATGCGTTCCTTAATGCATGTCTTCTTTCTACATGACAATTATCAAAACAGGTGATAATCTGAAGTTCTCTTCCTTTGTCTAAGTGCTACCTGTATCAACCAGGTGGAAGAATAAAGCAGAAAGCCATACCAAAAATCCTACTGACAATTACTATTAGAGAATTACTATTAACAAACTTCTAACTGTTCCATGGAAAAACTATAACAGGGAGTAGGAAAAACAGGCAAAGTACTTTTGAAAAAGCCAGTTCTTTTTTCACAGAACACTGTCATATTTTAAAAATATTTTTATAGGGGCTGGCCCGGTGGCGCACTTGGTAGAGTGCTCCATGGAAAAACTATAACAGGGAGTAGGAAAAACAGGCAAAGTACTTTTGAAAAAGCCAGTCCTTTTTTCACAGAACACTGTCATATTTTAAAAATATTTTTATAGGGGCCGGCCCGGTGGCACACTTGGTAGAGTGCGGCGCTTGGGAGCGCGGCAGCGCTCCCGCCGAGGGTTCAGATCCCATATAGAGACCGGTCCGCTCACTGGTTGAGCCAGTGCGGGCGCGACACTGAGGGTTGCGATCCTGTTGCCGGTCGCAGTATGGGCACGACACTGAGGGTTGCGATCCCGTTACCGGTCACGAAAAAAGACAAAAAAGGAAAAAAAAGAATATTTTTATAGGAATGTGATATGTATACAAAAGATATTGGAACCAGCAACATAAGATAAGGACAGGATTTTTTTTCCCCAGTACTGTTCACTGATGTATTCTTAGCACCTAGAATAGTGCCTGACACATAGAAGGTGTCCATTTACAACTGGTAAATAAATCAGTGAATTAACATATGGCCCTTTCTATCTACACTGGCACATTCTATCTGGATTAATAGCTATTTTTCATTTTAAAAACCTATCTTTAAACATACATGTAGGGATCTAGGTCATGTATCCTCTGATATATGGCAAGGTTGCTTCACTGGTAAAATGACCAGTTGGGTAGAGCCCCAAACTAATGTGCTAGTGGTTCAATGAGTTGGCTTTTTGGGGTTGCCAAGTCATTCCCAACAGTAGCATGAAAACACGGAACTAGGCATCACTGCACACTAGAACAATAATAAAGCTGACGGTAACTTGGCTTTACGATGATCTTAAAGCTTAAATTATTATATCTCTCACATTT